GCATGAATCCGTCTGAAAATGGATATGTTTATAAATGCTAATAGTCTCCCATGGACCTGCCCACACTGACTGCAGACAGTTGATTTTCAAGCTTGATTTTCAATATATAATCAAACTGTTTGTCCAAACTGTGCTTTTTCAAAAAGCTGTCTACAAAAGGAAAATTACTGTCTGCTCGTTCCCAACAAACACCGCTTCAGAAAATTCAAACCATTTATTTAGAACACTAATTTTTGTAAATGACACAGATTAAATTTTTTATTTTAGGTATTCAGGTAGTAAAATAATGCTGTTAAATTATAAAGTCTTTTAAAACCTTGTTTTTTTTAGATTGAAAAAAAATAACACTAAAAATAATGGGCAATATTAATTATGAAGCTAATTATCTTAACATCAAAGCACAAATATTTTGAAGGTTTCTTTGACATGCGGGCCAAACCAACAACAGAGCACAGAGGGATTGTGGGAAAGAACGTAGTTAGATGAGCATAGAGGCCACGATATAACCTAAAACTACATGAGCACAGTGGGTTTTTGTATTAAAGGTCTTAGGAGAATCAGAAATAAAGTGCTCTTTCATGCTGGTAAACACACCCAAACACACACATTGAGAGAAAAAAATAACTCTACTTGAACAAAGGTGTACAGACAAGCAAACACCGACTCCTCTGTGCATCTTTGTATACACAAGATTTACACAAGGATTTACGATCCCAACACCAAACATTTTTGCGAGAACTGTTTCCTGAGAGCCTCAGACCCACCCAGAAATCCCATGGGTAAAACCGAGCAGAGTGCAGATGAAGGAGCAGCTTATGTAGAGACGTTCTCACATTGTAATTTGCACCACAGAAAGCACAGCTCATGGCAACATTTCCAGACAAACGTTTCAACAAAGGAGACAGTGAAAAGGAGTTGGTTAACTTTGCCCCTGTAACACAGCAGCCTGTGGAGTGGGCGGTCAGTAATTAGAGAAGCTATTATTAGAACAAAAATGTTAAAAAGAAAGAAGTAACAACTGTGCTAATAATTATTTGAAAAATTCTCCTTTTGAGTTTGGCTGAACGACTAAAAACCATGAACTTCTGGCTTTGTGAGATGGCGGGGCTTTCTGCAGGATTTCACTAACAGCAAATAACTTCACTGAGATTATTAGAATATAGAACCAAAGGAAATAACAAGCTGGCTTTCATTAGTGCTTGGAGAAATCCTAGTGTGTGAAAGAAAGACTTGTTCTTTTATTAGTAAAAAGAATAAATTATTTTTGATTGCATTACTGCATATTCCAAATGGCTACAATAGATCTCTATTTGAAACATATCAACTTAGTTTTCCCTGACCTGGCTCCGGGTTGATGTCTGTTTGGAGGCTGCTGGCATGTTTTAATTTACATAAGAGGGCAAGAAAATGATTCAGTAGGTTCTCCTGTTTTTAATGACACCTTTTTTTGACCAACTGGGTTGCTCCATAGCTTCTCTATAGCCATTAATGTCGAGGAAGGCCCTTATGACCCGCCCATGGACTGCATCATTTGATTGACAGAACAAGCCAATCAGCTTTGAGTTTCATTCTGACACTGCAGCAGTGTAGCCAGTCAAGTTACCTTTATTCCATATGCAAAGTCAATAGCCCATAAGGTGACTTGGGGGTGGGGGGTGTGGGRAAATGGATCCTGACTTACTTTTGCGCTGTAGAAACTAATGCACTGTTCAAAAATGGCATGTCGGAAAATCCTGCAAAACTTTCTCAAGATCCCGAGAAACTTTCTCAGGATCATGACTTACCTAGAGCAGGGCTGATCGCTTAAACTCCATGTCCTGAATGCATACAAATGATTAGGTGTGGAGAAAAAAAAAAAGAAACTTGATTTTGATAATGGACATGGAAAGCATGTTTTTTATGACACTTGTTTGGACAGTTAGCTGGCTAAACACACTGCAAAAGTGGAAATATTTGTTACAAAGTGTTTTGAGTGCTTCAAGACAAGGAAGAGTGGTTTTTGTGACCAGGAAATGTTGTAAAAGAAAGGATTTGCCATCTTGAATTACTTTTTGTCAGAAAATGAGGACAAAAATGCATTAAAAGTAAGTGAAAAACATTTAATGTTTGCTATTGGTGGTTTTATAAACTGTGTGGATTGTAATGCTTTTAAAAAAAACTTGTGATTTATTGTTTTTTGTTGGCTGCTGAATGTCCCCTAGCTGTGATTCATTTTGCTGATTATTAATATACATATTTTTTTGTATTTTATCCATGCTGTGAGTAAATATGGATGGTTTATTACTCATGTGAACTCTCAGTGAAGTCTCTGTGTTGAAGCATTTAGAAATGAAAACACTTTGAAACACTACTTATTGTTCTTTTTCTCTAAGAAACAAAGATAACTTATAGTTACATATACACATACTTATTTTAGTTAACTAAAATTAGAACATGAATTAACTATATTTATTGTCTGGAATATATAATTTCATAACACATCTACAGACTTGTACAGATAATGTGTTATTCATTGACACATCTAATACTGTACTACATACCAGGTGGTCCAGCTGGAATATAGGCTGGATTCTCTGACCTTCCCTCTCTCCTTAAGTTTCCTCTGCACCGTCTTCTTTCTTTCTCTGAAATCTTCTCTTCTTCACCACTTATGATGACATCACTTTCCTCATCTTCTTCACCTGTGACCCTCCTGGTCTCTCTATCTTCCTTTCTTATCTCTCAGTCTCTTCTTCCTT